TTGTTTTTCTTCGTTTCTAACCTCCTTTCAAACCCTGCCGCACCCTGCGCACGGCTCCAGTGAATTCTGCAGGTTTATTCCCAATTTCAATTGCATGGGATGTGCCGCTGTTGTGTACGATTACTTTTCTAGGAGTATGATATGTTAGAAAACCTCTGAGAGTTCTTCGGAATATTGTCTCTGTTTCTCTAGGGCGGAGCCAGCGAGATCGACCACGCATCTATTGCTTTTCGCCGAATCGCGACGGCGTTTCTCCAGATGGTCGGCGATTCTCCGATCAATATGTATTTATTGCTTTGCGCCGAACCGCTGTTTCGTTCAGGGTCCAGACTGTGAACATTGGTTAAGCGAAAATAGCCATAAATATGTACGGTCTCTACGGTGTCTTGGTCTACATAGAAACAGGTGCTCCAATCGAAAGGCCCATGCAACGCGCGACGGAGCGGCAAATTACGATTGTCTTGACCGTCTCTCCTGGTTCGTACCCGACCTGGGGTCTTGTCTTTCGCCCATAACTCAGCGTTCTTATGATGACTATGGGAGCGCTCACTGCTGCGATAACGAGAAGTTACAATAGTAAAACTGGTGTTTGATATTATTGCTGCACTGTCTGCCTTCTGGAACCCCTATTAATGAAAGAACACTACGAATGATCGGTCTCATAGGTGGGAACGTCTAACCGTCCAACACAGCATGGCGACCAAGGCAGAGGCGAACTGTGTGTGGTCGTCCAGTGGGAGGTCGTCTAGATGCAGTGATAAAGTGATCAATAAAACTGCCTACACTCTAGCCAAAGATCCATCGTGTGAGCAAAGTCCACCAATGTCATCGATATTCACCACCGCAAACAGCGCGAGTGGTTTTCTTCCAGTGTTTTATTACTTTTTGTAAGGTTTCTTTTTTCTCATTTTTGCTCGCAACAGAAAATTTGTCAAGTAATCATAGTGCTGTTTCACTATTACGACCCCAAAGACCGAAGAAAATTTACTGAAACTTCGCCTATGGATGTTATGCAGTGCCTTGATCATCAATATGACATTCGGTTTTGTCGCTAGCGCCATTTGGCACTACCACTTTTTTTAAAAAAATCGATGAAAAGCTGCGTAATAGGGTTGTTTGATGTCCTGATCATGGTATCGCATTTAGGCGCAGTTCGGCGACGGGGGGGGGGCATTTTGCTTCTCATCGATGTGTCGACCCATCTAGATAGCCTTTTCTTGAGTTGACACGTTTTACCATGGTGGCTAGACGAGCTTGCTCCAGCTTCACAAGAGTTCACAAGTTTCACCAGAGTGAGACTTGTAAACCGGAAGTAGTGAAGCAGTGAAAGTGCAAAATGCCCCCTCCCTTCGCCGAACTGCGCCCGGCTTTTCCAGCATCAGCGCATTTTAACGTTCTACTAAGGTTGAGCGTACTAGCGAAAGGTCCGTCAGGGTCGAAAGTGGCTATTTGTGATGAGATGTAGATCACTAGACGTGGTTTTGGACGCTGATCTTGAATCTGCCTTCAAAATTTGCAAAGCGATTCTCTGAACGGAGTTATGGAGCCGCGTTTACCACGCAACAGGTCATGGGATCGGATCCCTGCTGAGCTTAACTTTTTTGCTTGTTGCGCAAACGTGGCAAAAAGTGATTTTGCCGTCACTACTACTTCAGTTCTCACCTGAGCTTGTCTGAAGAAAAGTTTGCCTCCATTCACCTGGCGCTTGCGACCTCGCCTTGCTAGGCACTGTAGCTGCACTGTATCTCACACGGTCCAAGCCGCAGTATATGAATGGAGGCAACTTTTTCTTCAAGGACAAGCTCAGGTGAGAACTGAAGTAGTAGTGACGGCAAAATTTACTTTTTGCCACGTTTGCGCAACAAGCAAAAAAGTTAAGCTCAGCAGGGATCCGATCCCATGACCTGTTGCGTGGTAAACGCGGCTCCATAACTCCGTCCAGAGAATCGCTTTGCAAATTTTGAAGGCAGAATTCAAGATTCAGCGTTCGACCAACCAACGGTCTCAGTGATCTACAACGGACCATCACAAATGCCACTCGACCTGACGACCTTCCCTAGTAAGATGGAGGGGCGGAGAGCTGATTCTTTCCCTCCACGGCTCAGCTTACAGCAGAGCCGCAGATGATGTCCTAGTGCCCACATTAGCGCCAACGAAAAGAATAAATAGCATATCCGTGATAAGATGTTCTTATCATACCCCATGCGAAAGTTACACGATTTTCGTTGGAAAAGGCTGCTGAGCGACGCAGTAATTGGCGCCAGCGCCTACAAACAGAATATCCATTTTTCAGTGATCAGGACCTCGACCAGCACACAGCGTTTACAGCGAATATGGTCTGAAAATTGAGTGACACCAAGTTGCACCCCGGCAGGCGCAGCCGCTAGAAGTGGATGGTCATCGTTCTGTGATTACAGGGCACTCATCATACTTCTGCAGGAAGAGATTCAGCCAAAAAATTCGACCTTTTCGGAGTAGAAGTTTACGAAACACTGCCAAATGTTTTCTGAGCCGGCCATTAACACGGAAGGTAAGCAGCCATGAAACGTGTATGGCTACGACCTCCCCCTTCCCCAAGACCTATCTATCCAATTTCCCCCACATTTTCCAGTTTTTCACCCAACAGGGCACATAATTGCTTGGGGGATTTTAGACGAGTCCGTACGACCCCCCTTTTTTCCTGGGGGTTGCTACGACCCCCCCCCCCCCCTCCATCACTCCCTCCTTATCAAATCGAGCCCTTCGAGCGGGAGGGGGCAGAGGGGTATACAGTACGCATGAAACAGGAAAATCACAAAAAGTCAGTCACCATTCCTAGAAAGGCCAGAAAGTAAATACGACCCCCTCCCCCCCTTCTCCCAACAATGAGCAAGTACGACCTACGACCCCTCCCCCTCTCCCCTTTTTTAACGTCAGTGAGCGAGGGATCCAATCAGCTTCATATGCGAACAGGAAAATCACGCGAAAATGTCCAACACTAGGTATAGCGATTTCTTTCCCGGTACGCTGTTTGAAGTTCTCTTTGCTAAAGGGACAGCGTTTGTTACAATACCCCCTTAACTCCTAACATAACACCAAATGCCGTCCATTACGAAACGACGACCGCCTCAGATTTCAGCGGAAACACGATCCTATGATTCGCCGCGAAGTACTCCCTGATCTACACATACACTAAAGCCTAAACAGAAGGGCATACCCGTCGAGACGGGGGGTCACGTTGTGGGAATTCTTCTGTAAAATACGACGGTCCCACCCCACTTCTCCCCATCTTCTCTACTTTCTTATTTGGTACGACCCCATTCACGCCCTACTAGTCAGCCATCTTGCCAGACTTTCCCGAATCATTAGTGGGAAGGGGCAGTACATAGAAAGGGAATAGGGAGGAATCAGCAATCAGAAAAATTTGCCTCATGCGAAATGTGACCCATCAGATCCCTTAGCGGGCCAGATAGGATCGCCTATCATTGTGTTTTGCTCATTGCAGGTGAGCGCGAGATGTAAACTGACACAATGCTCTATTTCACACAATCATCTTGTGGCTTTCATGCTGTATGTTATTTCCATCCCTTTCGAATAATTGGCTTTTGTAGGAATTTCGCCCCATTTCCGTCGCAGAAGAACTCTATATGGGTAGTTCGGACTAAAAGTTTTTTCCGGTATAACTCTCATGATTTCAGTCTAGGTCATTGTGCAGTTAGAGTTAGATGTTGGCATCGTTCTGAAGCTGGTACCTCATTACTAGGCGAAGGTCGTCAGCTCGAAGTGCTATTTGTTGATGAATGTAGCATCACTAGCAACGTGGTTTTTGGACCTTGCATCTTGAATCTGCCTTCAAAATTTGCAAAGCGATTCTCTGAACCGAGTTATGGAGCCGCGTTTACCACGCAACAGGTCATGGGATCGGATCCCTGCTGAGCTTAACTTTTTTGCTTGTTGCGCAAACGTGGCAAAAAGTGATTTTGCCGTCACTACTACTTCAGTTCTCACCTGAGCTTGTCTGAAGAAAAGTTTGCCTCCATTTATTACTGCGCTTGGACTCCTTGTAGACTACAGTGCACTACAGTGCTTCTACAAGGAGTCCAAGCGCAGTATAAATGGAGGCAAACTTTTCTTCAGACAAGCTCAGAGCTGAGAAGGAAAGTAGGTAAATGACGGCAAAATTCACTTTTTTGCCACGTTTGCTTCCAAACCAGGCAAAAAAAGCTTAAGCTCAGGGATCCGATCCCATGACCTGTTGCGTGGTAAACGCGGCTCCATAACTCCGTTCAGAGAATCGCTTTGCAAATTTTGAAGGCAGATTCAAGATCAGCGTCCAAAACCACGTCTAGTGATCTACATCTCATCACAAATAGCCACTTCGACCTGACGACCTTCCCTAGTTAGAGATACGCTCTACGCTTACTGCCTCGAGGAACGATACTCTCCCACAAGCGAAGTGAACAGGCCCCGCCGCTATGAAAGTGCGCCGCTGTCATCGGAAATGAAGCTCGAGGATTCTGACAGCAGGCCGCTGTTTCGGACTCCACCCACTACCCGCAACATGGGCATGCACATTCATTCCAAGGTTCCGCTATGAATAACATGAACAGCAAGCTGACCCTATTGTGGCCAATTTTGCACTGATAGCAAAACATGACAGGGCGCAGAGCGTTAGCGCGTTCGCTAGAGTTAGGCCGAATAGCCTGGCGGCGCAGGGCGTTGCGTCTGCCCGCTCTGCCTATGGGTGGACCTCGAAACAGTATCTGGCTGTCATATCCCTCCAGCCTCATTTCGGCGTACATCAAGAGACGCAAGTGCCACATCTCTGCAGCTTCGGATGCTTTCACCTCGCACATGGCAAGGTTCAGATTCTCGAAGGGGAGCGCACGGCATATCATTAAGTAGGAGCGAATTCTCTTTGATTATCAAGGTATTTTTGCTTCCTTACGAATTACCTGGAGTAAATAGTGTTTCTCTGTCCATGTATTTTCCTATAAGACTAATTCAGCAAAGTTTCTAGAATGTTTTCAGCCAATGCACTAGGTCGCCTGGCTCATCTCATCACGTCCATTGCCGTCCTATTCTGCTCGTTTTTCAGCTGTCCATCCAGTCGACAAGGCAGAATTGGAAGTGGAAGAAGCTTCATCTCACGTCTATCATGTGAAATTAAATCGACCAGATCGTCGAAATACTTTCACACTTGAGCTATGGAAGTAGTTTCGGTAAATATTGCGCCACTAACGTTTGATGACATGGTGACCTGCTCTTTCGGCTAGGGGATCTAACCGCTTAGCCATCGAAGCTGTCCAGGCATGTCCTACCAGTGGGGAGAAGTTCTGCTAAATACCTTAAAATCTGCTTCCGCCACACTCTTCCCATCCTGTCCACCATTCTCCTGGATTGTCCCAAATTCCTATCACTTTTCCGGATTTCTCTAACATCCAGCCTTTCCCCCTCAAAAAGACCTCCCGAGCGTGGAGGGGGATTAGTAGCACCCACGTGAGACGGGATGTACCGGAAAGTCAAAATACGAGAACATTTTTACGAAAGCAAGCACGATTTCCCTCCCTCCAGCGACCAAATACGTCCCCTTCCCTGGGGAACTCCAACTACGACGTGCCTCAGGAGGTTCCTCTGCCATCAGTGTGTCTTATTGTTTCTTCCAACAGTTCCACTACAGTTCAGCTGTTTTCAGGGAAATGAAGTCAACTTTCGACAAGCTTGCCGACGAGCCGAAATGTAGAGCTATAGTGTTATCCGGAAACGGCAAATCTTTCTGTGCAGGAATCGACCTACAACAAGGCATGGGGGTTTGTTATGTTGTTTATTTTCGGATAGTCTTTCTGTGCACTGATGGTGAGAAGTTAAATAACGCAGGCACAAATAGAAAAGTGTGAGCAGCTCTTGGAATGCTATGTTATGAGTAAAAGATGTGACGACATGCAGGATTCGAGCATGAACCTCACGCTTACCGGAGGCAGGGCACGAACCTGTCGCGGGAGGGGCTGGGGGAGAATTTTGCAGAATACGATTCCCTCTCTCAGTACGGACCCTTCCCATCTTCCTAGATCTTGCCGACTTCTTCGGAAAGATTCTCCGCTTCCCCCCCCCTCCACCTTCCCTCCACCCAAAAAAACTGCTGACTAGTGAGGGTGGGAGTTGTGTTTTGCAAGATGTGCCCAGCACACTCGAAATACGAAAGACCAACGAGTCAGCAGCCAACGATATTTTCTCAAAGCAAATAAGACCATTTTCCTTCCCTCCAGCGACCGTATCGCTCCCGCTGTCCTTCTCGCTAACGATCCCCAGCCAAAAGCAACATGCGACGTGCCCTGGTTGGAGGCGATACAGGTGGTATAGTAGTTACCACATTAATCCGGTGAGTGAGTTGCAGGTCAGAGCCCTTCTTCGGGTCAAGTCTTTCACCCGTAACATTATTTTGTTGACTTTCGACCGTGAACTGCGACGGTAAATGACAGTTATCATAATAAACCGAGGAGAGGAGTTTATGATCCAGGAGAGGAATCATCTTACTGTAGGAACAAGGGTATTAAATAATACCCTGTGCTTCCTAGGACTGCGCATTGGATATTTCATAGGAAGGGCACATCGTTGTCGGGGAATCCCCATGTTGGGGGTCGTATCTGGCC